TTGCGCCAGAAAGTGACCCTTGAATCTTCCGGGTCCATTTCCCCTCAGTTGAAACAGAGATCACCTGGTTTTGGAAGTTGGATTGATAAGGGGATTGCACCAATGCAAAAGAATGATGACATTGCATGTGAAGGAGAAGTGATGCATGGAGATGCAGTTAATGTTGTAAATAAGACGAAATCTACTAATCAGGGAAATGGAAAGGGTTGTAGCTTGTTGAGTTTAATGAACAAAGAGGAGTCTTCAAACACAAAACTGGTTGGAGTCCCTTCTGCAGCAAAGCCTGACTATGAATATATTGCTGATAAATGTGAGAGGAATGAAAGAAAGGATTGTTGGGATAAAACATGTGATGGATCAAGGAAATCACCAAATTCCTGTTCAAAGGTGAAGGACAATTCTAGTAGTGGTGGTCCACTTCGCTATGCACTCCACCTACGCTTTATTTGCCCTTTTCCTAAGAAGACCAATAGATCTGCTCAAAAAAGCAAACATGCTTCTCTTAAAGAAAAATCTGGATTAAACATGGAAGGTGAACGAAGATTCTACTTATGTAATGATTTGAGGGTTGTGTTCCCTCAACGTCATTCAGATGCTGATGAGGGCAAGGTATGTGCATATGTCTTGTGGTTCTGTTACTTGATTGTGTGGAAAAGCAGCAATATGGCTTCAGATTGCTTGTGTGGAAAACTTTTTCAACTTTTTTTTTTCTGGTTCATTTTTATTGTTACTATTCTTGTGTTTTGTTCTTTGTTATCTTTACATTTAGAGCGATTCTTTGCATCCTTGTACTTCTTGGGTGTTATGTTTGTTGCTCAAACTTGACACATGGAAATTGCTTCAAGAAAGTGTTTGGTTAAACTTTTCTAAGTGGCTTATGAATAAGTTAAAAAGAGCTAAAAGGGTCACAAACTCAGTTTTGTAAGCTTAACATATCAAAAAAGGCTTATGCTCATCAATGATGACCAATCTGGCTTGTTAATGTGAGTGGTCATGTTTTCTAGGAGGCATATAAATTTGAATCCTTGTCCCATGATGTTGATTGAAACCCATGCTAGGATGTTAAATTCATTAAAAATGTCTAATCATTTCCCTTTTATCTATAAGGTTGAAAAGAATTCTGTTGCAGGAAGAATATGATTGATGTCTTGGTTTGTGTGTTGTGCAATTTGGAATCTATGTTTGCATTTCTTGCTCTGCGTAGTATGTGACAAGTCCTGTTGTGGTTTGTTTGGCAGTTGAATGTGGAATACCATTTCCCTGAAGATCCAAGGTACTTTGACATCAACTGAAATACTAGTTTACCTCAAAAAAAGAAAAAGAAAAAAGCATGCTGCTTTCGCTGACCCTCTTGTACATAATCACAAGTTTCTCTCCACTCGAGTCATGTCTTCTGGAAAAATAGCACTAACCCTTTTCCTCATGTAAATACTAAAACAATTTCAATAATTTAATGGGTTAACTATTTTCAATTCCTGACCTAATTATACAATTACCATTAAAAGTTGATGATGTGCATTGTGGAACTTGATTACCCTTTGAATTATATTACAGACCCAGAGCAGCTTTCTAAGAACTGCGTGTGGTAAATGGTTACAATCAAACTTGGACTCTTGAAAAAATTAGTGAGATTAGCGAATTTTTCTTTTGTTATACCTACGTTTTTTCTAGTTATTATTGATTTTTTGGTCGCTGATTCTAAATTATTTGGTTTCTTTAAAATATCAGTGCACTGCAGGAGATACAAGTTATACTTGTTGATTATTTAATAATAGAATGGATTTTAAAAGTGTAGTAGTTTGATATACACGAGTTTTGTGGTTTTGCTACAATAATTAGGCTTCATATAATTTTTTTTCCTTATTTTCAGTCGTTAATTTTGTTTAATGTGAGATTTAATTTTTTCAGAATGATCGTAATTTATATTTAATTTGTTTTTTTTTTTATAATATCGTTTAAATTATTGTCATGTGTTAGTTGGTGATTATTTTAATTTTTTATCAACTTTTTTTATTCACATTTTAAGTCAAAGTCAATATTGTGTTATGGGACAATCTTGGTGTTACGGCCACGTTAGTATATGTGTATTCCATTCTTAGTTTTTATTTTTTTTTAGTTCAATCTCAAATTTTGTTCATTTTATTCCATTCATATTTTAAATTTGAGAGGAAAACTCTTCGTTATTTTTTAAATTAGATAAAGAATTCTTCATCATTTTTAAAATTAAAAGAAAACATTTTCATTATTATTAAAATCGAAAGCAAAAATTTTTCATTATTTTTAAAATTAGAAGAAATTTTTTTCATTATTTGTAAAATTAGAAAAAAAAACTTTGCCATTGCTTTTAAAATTATAAAATAAATTCTTTAATATTTTTAAAATTAGAAGAAATACTCTAATTTAATTCAATACTTAGAATGAAAATTCTAATTTATTTTTAAAATTTAAATGAAAATTCATTATTATTTTTAAAATTAGAAGATAAATTTTTTATTATTTTTAAACTAACTCTAATCTTAATTTTTTTATGTAAAAGAAATAAAACATAAATTTAATAATATATTCTAATAATATAGTTAGAGTTGGTTTAAAAATGATGAAAAAATATTTAATAAAAATGTGAATTTTAATAAAAAATAAATTCAATCTCAATTTAAAGAGGGACAAAATTATGACTAAATTAAACAAAATTAATAAAAATTGGTAATAAATTGAACAAAATTAATGAAAATTAAGAATGAATTGAATATAAGACACTGACACATGATAATAACACTTGACACATAACACTGACATTGACTGACACATAACACTGATATTGCTACGTGGCATAATATTCACTTAATATTTGAATAACTTCTTCTAAATTAAGAAAAAAATCTAAAATAATTATTAATTTTTAAAAAGAATTAAAAAAATTAAAAGAAATCACAAATTGACATGTGGCATATAGTGATAATATGTCATTAAATATTTAGACAATATTATGAAAAAAGACAAAATTGAACACAATATCATAATGGAACACAATATCACGTATAACAAAATCAATTAAAAAAAGAAAAAAAGTGATATTAAACCTAATAATTAATAAATATGTAACATAAGATTTCAAAAAATACTTTTTTCATATTTATGTTTTATCAAAGTTTAGATTAATGAGAAGAGAATGAAAAATGAAGAGAAACGATGAAAAAACTTTTGAAGATTTAATAAACAAAGTCCATTTAAAAGAATTAAAAAATAATATATTTATAACGTGATAAAATTATCTTTATTATTATAAGTTATTAAATTATAGTTTTCATGTTGTTATTAATTATTGTCTTAATCAATTATGTGATTGAATACTGATAAGATGATATAATGTAAACATGTTTTAGTTTACTACCCAGGCCAGTGTAGGATATCATAATGGAGGAAAAAAACAAAGGTGAAAGCAAAACAATTTGAAAGGGGAGAAGTTCTTATAAGAATAACATGTCTCAATGCAATAAAAGGAATATATAAACGTTTTTTGTTTTCTTATTCTTTCCCACTGCCACTCTTTTGTCCTTTTCCCTCATTCCATAATCACAAATCAATTAGTATCCGCCCAAACAAACATTAATATATCTCCTTTTTCAACCATTCATTTATTGAAACAAACAAACAAACTTCTCTTATATTTTTCAGACATAATGGTACTTGAATTTTCTCTTAGGCTTAAATCTATTTTTAGTTTTCTAGCTAATTATGTTTGCAATTTTGATCTTTATAAAATTTATTGGTAAGTATATTTTTATCTTTTCATTTCAAAATTAAACAGATTTAGTTCAACATTAATGGATCAGCTAATTTTAAAAAATATTAATGTACCTAGCTTGATAATGAACATTAAAGTCTATTATTAAACCCTGCTATTACATTTTTCTGAAAGGATTTCTATTAAATTTTAGGATAATAAGTAACTAACGATTACTCATACATAAATATTTTCAGTTAGAAGAGAATTTAATTTTGAAAAATTAAAAGAATAAATATATAATATTTTTTTGTTACAAATCAAAACGTATTTATAAAATGATAGAAACTAAAATTCAATTTAAGTGTTATTGTTGCTATCCAGACCTCAGCAAGGTGGTATTCCTTAGTAACTTCCGCAGACAATGTAAGATATGATAATTTGGCAATTCATTAAAAATAAAATAACTTAAATATTTTAATTATTTTTTTAATTTTTTAAATTAAGATATCAATGTTTTATTAATATAATGAGTTATCAAATGTTATTTTATTTTAATGGTTTTCGAAAATGTTATTTTTCTCTATTAACGTTATTTGAAGACAGCTAATCCTCACTTGTTTAGTAACACGTTTGTTACCATAGATTCTCCTAGTCAAACATGAGATTAAGAAAGTTTTAAGAATATTTTTAATTGATTTCTTATAAAAAAAACATATTTTATTGGTTATAAAATATTTGTAATTTTTCAATTAAGTATTTGTTATTTAATTTTGATGTCAACTAGTGTGGTGTGAGTGTTACTTTGCATCATCATTGTTTACATATGTCCACATGAAAAAGTAAAATATGTATTATTAGGTTTTAAATTTCTTATAAATATGAATATTTTAGTGATTTTAGTTTTTTTTTTCAAATGTTTTAAAGTTGGTTGGGCCCTTCCACTATAATCCCTACTAATTTGATAAGAATTATTTCAAAAAATCACTTTTATTCTTAAACGAATTCTTTGAACAAGAACCACTTGACTAATAACTAAATATTCTTTGTCTAACAATTACAACTCACTAAAATAAGATAATTGTAGAAATTAGTGATCAAGGATCACAAGTTGCTTATTAGAAAGGTTGATCTTTTATTTATGTATGGAGGATTTGATATTCTCCTCTAGCTTGCTTATTGAACATAAATGATGATCTTCTTTGTGTTAGCATAAAGCTAAAGAGCAGAAATTTTGATGATGTCTCAAGTATCAAGTGCTCTTATTGGAGGAAGATCTTCATGAAGACTTGTTTTTATATTAAAGCTTCTATAATGTAGTAGATTTATGTATAAGATGTTGTTTAGATTTGATTCTATGTATTGTTTGTCTTAGGTTGGAAGTTTTTTTTACTGTGCATTCATTAAATGCATAATTAATTATCAAAATTGGATAATTGATATTTTTGGATGTATCGTTGAGTGATATCTCTATAAATTAGATTGAGACTCTCATTCTAAAATACGAAATACAAAATACGAAATAAGTGTATTTTGAAAAATCTTATCTGTAGTGTGCGGTGATAAGTGTTCTAGGGTTTGTTGAACCCTTGTGTTGTGACTTTGAGAACTTGGTGTGTTGGCACAAAGCGAGAACTTTCACAGAGAGTGTGATTGAGTGTTGTTGTTGCTAAGTTAAAAGCCTATCATCCTTTGTGAAGCATTCAGAGGAGATGTTCATCCTTTGTGAAGATTCAGAGGAGGTGTTCATACCTTGTGGGTTATAGGGGAAATGACTTTCATCTCTTGGGGTAACAAGAGAGGTGATTTCTAAACTTTTACAAATTGTTTTTTTATGATTGTAATTTGTAATTGTTTTGTGAGTAGTGAATTGTTTATCTTGATTTAAGATAAGCGACTGGATGTAGGATTGGTAAGATCCGAATTAGGATAAAATCATCTGTGCAAATTTCTCTCAACCTTACTCTATTTTTTTTATTTGCTTGATAAGTTTAATTGAGTAGAAATTAAAAGGCACACGTTCGTATTAAAAACCCTCTTGGTTTGTTATTCGATGCTAATCATTCTACTGCAGCCGCTATGATACTTTGAAGCTAAGTTGGCTTAAATGTTTTGTAATGTTTTAGTCCTATATACAACATGCATGATCTCTCCTTTTTTTTCTTCTTTTTGAAATGTCTTACACATGCTCTAAAGAAAATAGTTGTAAAATTATTTGAGGTCGTTGAACATTTCCGCTTTTTTTTTTGTAGTGTTTTTCTTTCGCCTCAAGAAATTACCTTTTCTTCAACATTCTAATCTTTGGATTCTAAATTGTAATGTTGTACAAAGTAAACAATACTTTCATAATTGAGTATTAATTTAAGGGATTGTTGAAGAAAAATAACTTTAACTTTTTTAGCAAAATATTATGTGACTTGTCTTTTGTCGAACATGTTTTTTTGACAGACGTAACTAATAAATATTCCCTGTATTTTAGAATAAATATTTATGCATTTTCATTTAATATGAGATTAACTTAATGTTATATGTTTATCTTTTGAATGAATTTGTATGATATTATTAAACGTAAACTAAGATGGTATACTGTTACATTTTCTATTAGAAAAAAAATACCTATCTCTTACTTTATCTTCTTTTTAGATTAACTATCATTTTTCAAACAAAATATAATTATATTTATATACTTAGTCTTGAATAGTAATAATAAAGGCATAAAAAGACAGTAAGTAAACTAAAAAAGAATAGAAAGAAGAGACAAGAAATTGATGCTACATTAAGTT